AGTAAATAAACTAGGAATTAGTAAAAATTTTGTTGAGATTATTAAAATTGACCAGAATCTCTTGAATTTTATCTGTCTACCTAACAAATTCTATTGCTTCATTTCCAAATTCTTAGGATTATATTGACATAAACAGTTTTTTTTATTCCTGAATTTCCTTTAAAATTGACTCAAAGTTTTCATTTTTCTACAAATTAACTTTACCATAATTTCAAATTCATGGATACTCTTCAATACTTTTGTTACAATCAACTTCATCCTACATTCCTACAGTGATTAATTATTCCTATGTTAGTATATTGTCATCTTTTATAACTTATCTGTACTTATTCTTACGTTGCCATTCCAATTTTATATACATTTTTTAGTAAAATATTATACCAGAAATTAATGTTCTTAAAATTTCATTGTACTGTGTAAACCAAGAAGAACTTCTTTTAAAATATCTTCTGTGAAATATTACTGTTCCTTATGAATACAATTATATCACACATAATATAGAAATCCATTTATTATGTTAACCACCTACATAATAACAATAAATTCCCAACTCTCCAAAAGATCTGTTTTGTTGTTTTTTTCTTTCTGATTGAACATATATCATTATATTTCAAATGTTCACCTAATTTAAGTCAAATATATAATTCCCTACAAAAAAAAAAAAACAAAAAACAAGCTTTATATCCATCATTAAATATGAATGCCTTGCCATAAAGAGTTCAAAGCAATTAAATTTCTCAGTAATCAAAACGCAGATAAATTCTCATCATTTAAGTCAAATATATGTTATTAAAAATGGGTATTCTTATTACTAAACATACACAAGTAGCACAAGCTGTTTTATCCAAGAACGTCCTGCAAAAATCCAGAAAAAGGACTGAGCACTCAAATTAGGTGCAAAATAGGACCAAAAGTCTACTATTGATGCCTCTTTATAAGTTAAGATTTTGTAGTACATTACTGAAGGAAATATGTTTATCTCAACCATCTACAACTATATATTATGATTTTTTTATCTTGTATGCTACATATTAGGCGCAAAAAGGGACCAGAATGCTTAATCTTTGATGCTTTATATCTCAAAAGGGAGAAATATTTTGATAAGCAATATTGAACAAAGGATGTTCAAAATAATGTTCTGAACGATATTATGCAACATTTCCCTTTCCGCTAAGTGTTCCCATAAAGAAGTGAAATGGTTAAACCCTAACTAAATCTATTGCTAATAACTCAAAATCGAAAAAGAATCTTTGAACACATGTTGAACTGAGATCAGAAAAAAAATGTTTTGAAACAATATGCACCCTGACCCCTCATATATAGGACCAAGAATTGGAATTTAAAGTTCACTAAATTTTCCTATATAGGATAATGACCCTTTAATTATCATTGTAAACATAAAAGAAAAACTCAATCAAAATCTCATCTCTTCTCATCAAGAATCGAACGGAAGACCCACTCGTTGTTCACAACGAGATCTCATCTAGTTCTATTGTTTCTTCTTCACTTTTATTATTCTTCGTTTTCTTTACAATTTTTGTGCAGAAGATTTCTCGGAGATGGCTCGACCGATTTTGTTCAAATTTTCAAAGAATATGTGTTTCTATCTGAAGTTTGTGCCCCCGGCTCAATTTTGAAAAAATCACTTCCGGTGAACCGGAAAGTTATCGCCCTTTCAGTGATTTTTAGAGGGTGTCCTTGTCCGTGAGTAAACTCAAACACGACATAAGCTAGAGAGCTGAAATATGAAGAAAAAAGGGCTGATCCCTAATGTTTGGGGCCGTGAGGGTCCAAAAGTCGATTTTTTAAAAATCTTTTATATTCAATGTCTTTTTACAGATTATGGAAAATCATTATTTTAGAATGAAAATCTCAATCAGAATCTTATCTCATCTTATCAAGAATCGGACGGAAGACCCACTCGTTGCTAACACGCAACGAGATCGTATGCACACTTAGTTATTATTAAGGTCTTTCGTCTTCAGCGGAAGACCTTTCTGTTATTCTTAGGTTTCTTTTTCACTTTTATTATTGTTTTTTTTCTTACCGATTTTGTGCACGCGATTTCCCGAAAACGGTTTGATGAATTTTCATGAAACTTTCAGGACTTATGTATCATCATTTGAACCTTATGCTAAGTTAAAACCTTTTTTTTCGTTTGTTTGATGCGCGACGTCACTTCTGATATATTTAATATGGTTGTAACGATAAAATGTTTTCTGAGATCAAATTGTGGATTTTATGAATTTTAAAGGGTCAGGTTGTCCAGAGTTTTTCTGGAAAATGGGTTAAGATAGAAATATGAAATTTTCAGGTATGATAGACCTAGGTCTGTAGATGTGCCTTTCACATTTTCATTACGCTCATTTTCATTGCTTAAATTTTCTTGGTATACTTTTGGAAAAACTTGGAAACGCTTCTTTAATGCACGAATATCGGCTGTAACGGTTCCCGTTACAATTAGCACTATGTCTTCCGTCTTCCGAAAATAGTCCTGTCGGAAACGTGAATTTCAAAATTTCTAACACCTTTTCTTCCATATCTTTTTACCTAGAAATATTTTGTTAAAACATATAAAACAAAAGAAGTGTGGAATTTCAAAAATTTTTCCAAGACCTTTAAAATGATATCTCGCTGGCCCCTAACAAAAAGGGGCCAAAAGCTGGCCAAAGAAGCAAAGTTGTTCAAAAAATTAAGGGCTTACAGGGGCCAAAAGTGTTTTCTTTATATCTCAAAACGTATTGAGAATTTGTAATACATCAAAGAAGCAAAATTATTAAAAATGTTGCAACGAGCTCGGCTCTAGTTATTATTCTTTTTTCTTCTTATTTCTTCTCTGGACTTTTTTGTCCGCGAGTGTTCTTGGAAACTGTTCACCCAACTGAGCTAAAACATTTTTAGGGTTAATAGGTGTGTAGTGTAGGTGTGCGGAACGAAGGCCATTTTGCGCGCATACGCATGCACGTGCGTGCGCGTGAAGTGAGTGAAATGACTGATATACTTAATATAGCTATAACTTTTACATTTTTTCCTGAAATGATTTGAAACTCATCATATAGAGATATATTAATAGTGTAGATAAGATGACACTGTCAAATTAGCACTAACTCACGCGCATGCACGTGCCTTTCGCTCTGATTGGCTGAAACAAAAATCTCAATATCTTTTCTGTTTTTTGAGGAAATGCTTTGAAATTTAAAATATAGGCATATTTTATGATGCCCAATAACATGATGTATAATAATTGACAGGAAAGCACGCGCATGCACGTGAGCTGCAATCTGATTGGCTTAAACTTGAAATGGTTATAACTCCCTTGTTTTTCAACCAAACAGGATGGGATTTAGATCTTAGACAGACATAATGGACTCCTAAAAGAAGATATTGTCATCATGAACATGCTTGCACGTGCATGAACGTGGGCTTCGCTCTGATTGGCTGAAACAAAATTCTCAATATCTTTTTTGTTTTTTTACGAAATGCTTTGAAATTGAAAACATAGGCATGCTTTAGGATATCCTACAATGTAATAATAAATTTCATAAAATCACGCGCATGCACGTGCGCTACAATCTGATTGGCTTAAATTTTTAATGGCTATAACTTCCTTGGTTTTCAACCAAACACGGGATTCAGAACATAGATAGATATAATGGACTCCTACAAAAGGGTATCGTCATCATGCACATGCATACATGTGCGTGCACGTGAAATGAGTAAAATTACAAATACACTAGATTAAACATATTTTTGGATTAAATGCTGTAATATTAAGTAAATTAAAATATATGAATAGTGTAGACAAGATGATAATTATGCACATGCATTCAAATGCGCCTCCGTGCAATGCTGAAATTGAATACTTTTGGAAAAACTTTGTTAAAGTCTAAAATGCACAGAGTTTGTCTTATTTAATGTAACTTACAGAGAATATGGAACAAAAGGGAGTTGGGGAGCGTTTGGGGAACATCTGTAACGGTTCCCGTTACAATTAGCCCTAGTTGTATATTATTATTACATGGGAGGCTCAAGTATTTTAAATCCTTAAGACTATCTTTTTTAAATTTACAATTTATTGCACAACCAAATTGAAATTTAAGGAATCAATACGGCAGGGACATCAGGAAGCGTGGGATAATTGATACTGTCTTTACATGATTACTGTTATATTCCTTCATAAAATAATGAAGTATATGTCATATAAGCTCTAAAGAAAAAAAATCTTTATCACTAAATTTTTCACACACAATCCAAAGAATCTCTACTGCGTTCTCATATATGCCCTTTGTTTGCGTTTGTTTAACAAATTAATGACTTTGGTTAGGAGGGAATTTTATGTGGTTTCTGAATAAATTCAATACTCAGTATATCTCGGCTTATATGTAATTTTTATATAGGTGCTAGCAGGGGCTATATTTTGGCGGAAAACTCGCATTTCATCAAATGCAATAACCGTTTTATAATCGGTTATTATTTGGTAAGGGCACGCAGGCTGTGTGGCCATCTACTAGGAATGTCTAATAAGTATATTATGCAACCGCTGATTTTCTCAGTTTTATGTGTTTTGCAAACATTTTTTTAATTTGTTTTGTTTTTTAAGACCGATTTCTGTTTGTTAACTTCATCATCAATTTGCAAGGATCCCTTTTTAAGATCTAAATTAATTCGAGTACACCTGACAAACCGGATGTATTTCATAACATTTCTGATTTCTCACTTAACTCGTTATAAACTTTTGAATTGAACATGTAACATTAAGTAGCGCTTATTTTTGTTTCTGTTTTCCCTTTTCCCTATCACTTTATATTTTTTTTTCTTTGTTCTGAAAAAGAGTCAGTGCGTCCCGAAAATTGACAATTTTTATTTGTTCGTATCGTTGGTCATTTTTAATGATTTTATATACATACACTTTATATAGTTTATGTGTGTAAAGGAGGATCCATGTGTGTATGTGTTATTCTTAATACATATTATACAATTTCCTGTAAATTATCTTGATTTTTGGCTTGACTCCATAAAATCGTTCAGTGGACCTTCTGCACAAGTTTTTGCGGTTGCTACGCATACAGAAGGCAAGACAGAAGAGGTATTTGACAGTTGTTTGATTACTGTTTCCTAATAAGTAGACTTTAAGGGGAGACAGGACATATGTCACATGACCAAAAAGACATATTACGTCATAATCGGTGATGATATACATGAAAAACGTTGTTAAAATTAACATTTCTTGAGTAATTTTATTCTAAATTCTAAAATTGCTTTTTAAACATTTAATTTTAGAAATTTTTATCAATAAAATTTATAAAGATCTTCCCATCATTTAGATATTGTGAAGTTGCGCTGTCCACACATTTTTTTCTCTTTACCCTGCAGTCTGACTTCAGTGACGTCATAGACGCAGTGTTTAAATTCTCAGTGCAGCGAGATCAAATACACACACTCGTCATGATCACTTTCTTTCATAATTAACGGGTCGCAGTCAATGTATCGTGCTAAATTTCTGAGGTAAAATTTTTAAATTAATATTTTTTCGTGTTTAGTAGCAGAGATTCTCTCTATTTAGATAATTTTGAATGTTTATGTTTTCTTGTGATGTCACAATTGATTTCCCGCACTCGAAAAATACAGACGTGAAGCGTTTTTATCATTCTTACGTCTAATTTACGATGTCCTGTGCGATATTGAGGTAAGCTTCACCCTGTGATATTTATGCAGTAAATAATTACGATGAAGGACTGACATTCAATCGTAAATTTCGAAATATTTGTTGACAGAATTTTTTCCAAATGAGGTTTTTGTCGTTGAAGCTGCCTTGAAAAATGCAGAAATTATCCCACCCAAATACTATATGAAATTAAAACAACTGCTTTCAGATAATTTAAACACTATATAATATTCTAAAATATTTGAGTAAATAGTGTTATCTATCATATTTGTAGTTTGTGTGTAAAAATTCGAATTATGGACTCCGTTATGGGCCCGTTTACATGAAGTATTTAAACTCCATACAAACTCTAAACAGTTCTGTATTTGTGGGGCGATATCTTTTAAATAAGTCAAGAAACCCCATGACAGGACATTTTAAAATGTTAAGTACACATCAAATTAGTAATATAATAAATACGAAAAAAATTCATTGACAGGAATTTTTTCTGCTAAAGGTCATGTTCCTCCTGAAAGTAACTTCAGTAAATTGCATCAAAGTATCATCCGATAAATAACCTTTAATTATCTTTTTTTATAAGTATTATTTATCAATAGTGGAGTTGGAGATGAAGAATATTTTCGTTGAATACAATATGCTTTATTTTTTCAGTTAAACGTTAAAATCACAGCAATACAATTTAAAAGATCAATTGTAAGTTGTTTAAAGTCCCTCTCGAGAATTTTTCACTCATATGGAGACGTCACCGTATTCCGGTAAAGGGCTTCAAATTTAGACATATACTCGGCACTCAGGGCAATTGAGCAGTGAGAGTTCTTTATCGTGCCAGCGCCTACCGTGAAACGGGACCTACGTTTAAAGGTCATATCCGAAAGACCCATGACTTTCACTTCTGATGCCGAGCGCCTGGCGAAGAAACAGTTACTACCTATGCTCACGTCTAGGGTATGTCACGGCGCTGCGAATGAAATTCGAACCCGGGCTTCCGATTACGAAGCGAACGCTCCAGGCTACCACTAGGCTACATGTACCGTGACCAGTCCAATTCAAATGAGAATCTTTTTGACTCATATGTTACGTTTGCTCCACTCTTCAAAAGTTTTTCTGCTATGGCGCTAACAAAAATTTTACCTTTTTTAAGGAGATAATTTACGATTGTAGTGCCCACAGATATTTATAGACAAAATTAACAGGTTTTGAAAAGATATGGAATGATAAAAATTCTTTTATAATTTAAAGAAAAGTAAATAAGAAGTACTAAACATATATTCCAGATGTGTTTTAGAAGAGGTGTACAACGGTATATATAGACATTGACCTGTATCACATTGTTCCTTGACGTATTAAAACTTTTTAACTATGTACCTTATAAAACGTTGGGTATGCCCTTAACGAGTAATTCATTTTTCTTGATTTTGTCAGTATTGTTTAGGAAAATTAGAACCAATTTTAATGACTGGTTTCAATATTTTCAAAACAGGAAAAAGACTCTTTTTGGGAGACTCTTTGGAAATTAGTAACAGAGGATGATAAGACCAGGCTTTATGACAGGGACTTTGCCTTAGGACTTATAGAGATGAATGAGGAATCGAAGCATGTTCTGCAGAGTTTAAAAAAATCTGTTTCTGAAGTAGTATCACAAGGCATGGCTACGAAGATAGAAGTTCCATCAGCATGGGCACTTCTTGAACATCTTCTGCAAAAAACAGAGAAGCCAATCCTGTCAATTAGTGACATCCACAAAGAGAATAAGAAACTTTCAGAAGAATATCAATTGAAAAGTCAGGAAGAAATATTTGATTTTCTGTCTTTTTTCCATGGACATGGGTTGTTACTCTTCTTTAAGGAAGATGAACTGAGCACACATGCAATTCTAGGGATACAATGGTTTTCTAAGGCATTCAGTAAACTTATTGCTGACAAGGAGCACATTCATAGAGACTGCAAACGAAAATTCATTGAAGATTGGAACTGTTTCAATGCCACGGGAAATCTGAGTAATTTACTGGTAGATGCTCTGTGGAAAGAAGAATCGTCATATTTAAAACACAAGACAATACTCATGTCATACATGGAGAGATTACGGATGTTAGTCAGCATTGAAGGGGAATCCTCCTGGTATGTCCCCTGCATGAACCAAAAGCCTTTTACACACGACGTCTTTAAACAAACAATGGAGAAGTCGTCCGTTCTCTGTTTTCGATTCACTTCCTTTGCCATGTTCGTATACTACAGGCTTATTGCATTTTGCCTGAGTTTCCTGAAGTGGAATGTGCAGCTCGATAAGGACAAAATTCAATGTCTGTATCACACAGCAGCAATCTTCGAAACAAAAAATCACACAGTTATCGTTGGTATAATTGATAATGACATCCAGATTCAAGTCTTGCGAATAAGGAATCTGAATCCCAAGGTATCCCGTGAAATTGGAAAAGTAATTGAAATTGTCTTAAAAGAATTGACGAAGACATTTAATGAAAAGAAAAACTTCCTAAAAGGCTACAAATGTCTGAATCGTTTCTGTAGTAAAGAAGATCTTACATTTATTCCAGAAAATGAACTGTGTGGAGTTCAATGCAACTGCCCAATCTCGGATAAACACGAAATAGATGTACAAAGGACTCTTTATTTTTGGCAAGAGGTGCGTAAAGTTTTGTTGTTGTTTCTAAACCGAAAAAAATCTATTTAACATGAATTTTGATTTTTGTGGTTATTTTTTAACAATAAGGGTTACGATAGATTTTTCGCTTGAGTTTTTAAGAACTTTACGAAAACGATTTTTATAGTTTTCAATTAAGATTATATGTTGTAAGAACTTTGTGAAAATATCAACTTAAAGGCAAATATTGTTATAGATTTATAGGTTTGGAATATTAAGGTGTTTTTCATACTTATTGTTAGGTCATTATCTATATACTGAATTGACGTCGGATATTTCCGTTTTTTACTGATCATGACAAGGATCACACGGCGGGTGTGATCGGTAGGAAGGGGGAGCATCCCCTCCATGAAACGTGGTCCCACCTTTGATGTTTGGAGATACGTGTTTGCTCTGCTTCACTGACATTATGTCAAATACTGACTGACGTTTTTCATACTTTTTTGGCTATTATTTACTCAGAAATTCATATGGAATTTTAGGTCGCAAATTACCTATAGCTATCAGCTTTCGTCCGTTGCGGTGCATGGTGTGTCCTCTTTTGACATTTGAACAGTTTCAGCTTCCACTCTGAAACTGCTCAACCAATTTCAACTTGCCTCTTCCCAAATTATGAATTTTATGGCCCAAGGGTCAGGGGTTCTGGTGTTTAGATGGGGCTCTTTTAATAATATAGTGAAAATGCATTATTTTTTGAAAATCTTTTTCTCTGCTCTTGGGTATTAAATAAACTAACTAAGTACATAGTTATATTGAGCAAGTGTGCCTCATCCAAAATTGTGAATTCTATGGCCTAAGGGTCAGGGGTTCTGGTGTTAGGGTCGGGCTCCATTGATTATATGATAAAAATACATTTATTCTTTGAAATCTTCTTCTCTACCTCAGGGTATTAAATAAACTAACTAAGTACATAGTTATGATGGGCAAGTGTGCTTTTTCCGAAATTAATGTTTTGATGTCTGCTCTTTATTATTTATCAACCATTTTATTATGAAATTTGCGACAGCTTGTAATATGTGACCCCATGGTCAGTGGTTCCTTTGAAGTGAGGTTAACAACTGGTTATAAAGTGCAAGTGCATGTATTTTCTCTTTGTTACTCTGATCTACCTCTGGGTTATAAGTAAATAGAGTAAGCAGGCTAAGTTTATAGTTATGATAAGCAATGGTGCCTCTTTCAAAATTGTGAATTGTGGATTTCATGGCTTCTGGTTTAATACACAAACCAAATTTAATTGTTTGAAAGATGTAACACAATACTCAGGTGACCTATAAGGTCCGTGGGCCTCTTGTATTCTTTATAGATCCCTTAAATTGTTGTATTAGACTGAGGTGAAGGTTAACTTTGTTTAGTAAAGTTGGCGGTTGTTGGCACCTCATCCGCCATGTCATATTTTAGAGGTCTGTGTTTGCAACGATTCGTATTATTTGAATAAATATGAGCTTGAAACCAGATGTAATCTCACTACTTAAGAATGCCCACCCTTTTAAACAAAATCAAGCGTTAATTATACTGGAAATGTTAAGATGGAACTTCAACATAGATTTGAATCCATGTTTCAATGAATTTTACATAGAAATGGCAATTTCGTGATGAACGTTTCACTGGTCACAATATTGTTCTCTTACTATTCCTGTAGATTGACGAAGGGTTGCCCACTCAAGATGACAAGGCACAAGGAAGTACAAATGACGATGATAAAACTCTTCGACGAGGTTGTAAGAGGAAAAAGGGTAAAAAAAAAGTTTATGCCTGCTAAAGATTTTTATCTATTATAATATGTTTCAAAATATTTTGAATGTTTAAGAAAAATATGTTAGAAGGGACGTCATCTAGAATATTGACATTATGATTGAAATTACTTTTCTAATAAATGATTTACTAAAAGTATTATATTTATGATTAAACATGCAGAAATGAAGGACTTTTTCTACGTACACTCTAGGTTTTTCTTTTTGTTCTTTATGTTTACAATTTTAAATATCTATTTGTTTTTTTGTTGTTGTTTTTTTTAGAGAAAACTGTAGTCAGCATCAATGTAGGAAATATCACAACAACCTCAGGAATGGTAACGTTTGGAAACTGTGACAATACATCAGTTAAACAGAACCAGGGCTCTTCAGCTAAAAGGGAAAAATATAAAAGGACCACATGATAATTATACATTCCAAGGACTTTCAAGAATACCTGATAAGAAGAGGAAACATACCATTTTTGCATTTTGTGTAAATGTAATATGCATATTTGTTCAAGCCCATTGTATTGTTTTTTGTATATTAAAATTGCCGTGAATAAATACCTTGGGTCGATTCATTCAGTATCCAAAATGCACAAGATTCTTTTTTTATATAGCATATGACAATGAATTGATACCTTTTGGTATATGACGGAATATTTATTGACGTACTTTTGGGGTTTTGATTCAATTTATGTGTATCGATATCGTAACGCGAAGCAGTCATTTAGCCTTGCAGTAGCTAAACTTGCTTAAGATTTAGTGTGACTCTGAAAGCTCACTAAGAAGGCAGTTTAAACTTTCTTTCTACTGTCTCTACATTATATTGACAATCAGCAAATTAAATATGAATTATCACCTGTGATGTAAATCATATACAGTACAAGTTTTGATATACCAGTTGCAACTTTCGACTAACTACGTCTCTTCAGTGACGCTCATGCCAAAACGTTGGAAATCAGGAATAAACCTACAAAAAAATCTTTAAAAGGGGTTTTCAAAGACTGGACCCAAATACAAAGGATTATAGCTATGTATGAAGGCTATAAGGCGAATTTTAAAAAAAAAGATTTGTATATTTTATACTTTACCACAAAAATTAAATATGCGTTGTTTCAAAACTTAACCCTAAGCTACCCTAACCCCTAGGGACTATTATTCCACCTGCGGAGACCTTGACCCGTAATGTAAATATTTTATGGTATAAGATGCAAATTTCGACAACTATACATGGATTTCTTGATGAAAATATTTATAAGCATTGGGTATTGGTTTTTCTTTCCTTGATATTATACTAGAGGAGTTTTACTGAACACACAACGTTTTATTTGTAATTGTAACACGTTTATTTACTACATAGTAGTATAAGGCGTCTAGATGGCGAGGTCAACTAGTGCACTTTTTATGCCTAACTGAGTGCAGTTCTAACCCTAACCCCTATCCCTAACTAGCCCTAACCCTAACCCCCTAACCCTAACCCTAGCCCTAACCCTAACTAACCCTAACTAGCCCTAACCCTAACCCTAACCCTAACTAACCCTAACCCTAACTAACCCTAACCCCTAGCCCTAACCCTAACTAACCCTAGCCCCTTAGCCCTAACTAACCCTAACCCCCCCTAACTAACCCTAACCTATTCCCCTTAAATACGGGGTGTGTTTACATTGGTGTGTTGGTACTACTTTTTTTTTTTTTTGTTTTTAAAATGCTGACAGCGACAGGTAAAAAATGCCCGTGTGCAAAAAAAACATTGCAAGAATGTGATTATGACGTCACGCTTCAAGTCTAGACTTGTGCAAATAACCGGTATGCTGGTTTTACAGGTAAAAAATGAACCGTGTGCAAAAAAAACATTGCAAGAATGTGATTATGACGTCACGCATTCACAGTTTTTTTAACTGAAAACAAAACACTGAAAGACAAGAACCACCTGGATTTTTTTACTGAAAACAAAACACAAACAAGACAGATTGTGATTTTCAATTTTTATTCACAATGAAAAAATACAAAAATGATTTTAATTTCCACTGTATCGGCATAAGGGACATTTCTGGTAGGACGTCTCAAAGAGTTTCTTCACACATTCCTCACAACACGGATATTGCCGACATTGTTCGCATTTCCATTTTCCTTGAGTCTTTTCCTGGTAGCACATCATACATTCTTTCAACGGTCTGTTCCTAGTCATTTTCATCCATCGGGGAGGCGGTATGTTCTCAATTCCTTTCTTGTGTATGAAGTATTTCAGGCACCAGCTACAACCGCAATCTTCTAAAGAAGGCTCATCATCCACATACCAGTGTGGAAATGGCATTTCACAATGCTGACAAATCCTGTACGTTCTCTGATGCCATCCCGGATAGTTATACACTGTCAATGTTTTATAATTCATCGTATTCTGATCACAGTAATGACAAACATATTTTTCTACATCAAACCAATAGATCAATCTCCACGTGAAATACATGATGGGTACAATGAGTGCAGGGTACTCCCAGCTCGGCTTTATATACCTGGTGTGAGCCGTGTGCAAAAAATACCTAGGCTTTATATACCTGTTGCATCACCTGTAAAGAGAGCCGTGTGCAAAAACTTAAGGGCCTTGTGCAAATATACGTTTTACCTACGTTACCTTTTTTATGCTGACTACACAGGTAAATACTTGGCAGCGAGCCAAGTTTTTGTTTAGGGCCGTGTGCAAAAATGCTTACCTGTGTATTATGACGTCATCCACTGTATATAAATGTGGTTTTTCTTTCACTCTGGGTTCATTTTACCCTCAGAGCCATCAGGGTGATAGACATGGATTCTACTAGAGAAAAACAGGTACAGCCTCGACGAACATTGAAACGAAAAAGTACCGAGAGAGAAATAGATTTACCACCTAAACCCATTTCGGAGTATTATCACATGAGACTAGGTGAAGAAAGGACCTCACCAAAATTTAAAGCGCATGAAAAAAAATATGTCGTTCATTTCGATGAATTTCCAGAAGAAGAAGAAACCACGGCTTTCCTTCGACGATTATTCAAAACCATGTTACAGGACTTCAAATTGAAAATGCAGTGTGATCCTAACGATTACCTTCGCCTGAACATAAAACACCCATCTCTGGATTCAGACATTTCTTATGGGTTTATGCAATGTAAAAAATTAAACGAAGACGTCATTTTTGAAGAAATAGATCGTGTGCAACAATCCAAAAAGGAGTTCAAAATCGGCGACGGCTCCACGGAATTCCAGCTGTTACACATCGAGAATCCCCAGGGGAGTGGTGGAGACAGAACCAAACATCTACAACTGGATAAAGAGAGTTTCAAGAACAATAAACGAGCCATCGTTCGGATCGACAATCCCTGGGATAAATTGTGTTTGGCTAGAGCCATCGCCGTCACTCGATTACACAGTCAGAAACCCGATCATCCAGACCCGGAATGGGAAAAACAATGGAAACGCATGAGGTCAGGAGATCAATACTTAGACCAGAAACGAGAAGCCATAGCTCTCATGGAACAGGCCGGGTGTGATATCACTCAAGCTTGTGGATCTGCAGAGTGGATAAAATTACAACAGGTATTAGCTCCTCAGTATCGTCTGAAAATATTTCAGTTCAAATCTACTTCGACTAAACTCTGTTTAGAGCGCATCTTCAAAGGCTGGGGAGATGGAACTTGTTTGAACATTTTGTTAGACAACCGTCATTGCGATGCCATCATATCCATGCCGGGAGTGACGGGGAACCCCTACTACTGTGATCATTGCGACGTGGGGTACAGTCATGTCACAGACCATCGGTCCAAGTGCCCTCATCGCTGTCCCTATTGTTTAGGACCACACCCTAAATGTCCCGATGAAGGGATCGAGATTAAATGCCAGGAATGCCATGGAATGTTTAAGAACAGGACCTGCTACGAAAATCATTTAAAACCCCATAGTAAGAAGACCACCACTACTGTGTGCAATTTAATGGGACTATGCGAGAAGTGTCAGTCCTGGATGCCTAAGAAATTATTTCCTCATCACAAATGCGGAGATCAGAAACAGTGTAAGATCTGTAAGAAAATCGTCGATGCCGATCATCGGTGCTACGTACAACTGAAGCCCAAGAAGAAGAAGAAGGGAAAAGGCACCTTAGAGTTTACCATTTATTTCGATTTCGAATGCACTCAGGAATCGGGCATTCACGTCCCTAATCTGTGTGTGGCACATCGCGTCTGTCAACATTGCGATGGTTTAGACATAGACCAACCTTGTCCTCATTGTCAACACATGGGACCCCGTCAGCACCTATTTCAAGGCCCAGACACCTTAAAGAAGTTCATGGACTGGTTATTTCAACCCACTACAGGTACTAAGAATTCCACTTTAGTACACGACGGGGCCATCGTCATCGCCCATAACTTCAAAGGATACGACGGACAATTCATTTTGAATTACATAGTGCATTCTTCTCCCCTGAAACCTAGCGTGATCATGAACGGGAGTAAGATCTTGTCCATGGAAATATGTGGACTCAAATTCATCGACTCGTATAGTTTCTTAACCTTTCCTTTGGCCCAGATGCCCTCCGCTTTCGATTTGAACGAAATGAAGAAAGGTTATTTCCCTCACTTTTTTAATACGGAACAGAACCAGAATTACGTGGGACCTTATCCACCGGCAGCTTTCTACAATCCGGACGAAATGACTACCAGTGGACGAAAAGCTTTTTACGAATGGTACGACCAACAGAGGGGAAAAGTGTTTGATTTCCAGAAAGAGTTTGTAGGGTATTGTATCTCGGACGTTGACATCTTACACAAATGCTGTGCACGGTTTAGAAGCACCCTCAAGAAGTTGGTCAACGTGGACCCTTTCCAGGAATCCATCACGTTTGCCAATGCTGCTAATTTAGCCTACCGTCGAAATTTCATGCCTAAAGACAGCATTGCCATCATTCCGAACCTCGGGTATGATCCGGCACGACAATATTCGGCCAAAGCCTGTCGATGGCTCACCTGGATGAGTCATCAGAATGGATGTCACATACGACATGCCAGAAACGGAGGCGAAGTCCCGATCGGAAATTATACCGTCGACGGATACCAGGAAGCGACTCGTACCGTCTACGAATTTTACGGATGCTATTGGCACGGATGCCCCACTTGCTATCCCAGTTTACAGACGGAAACTCATCCTCACCGGACCCAATTTACTTACCAACAATTACACGAGAAAACTCTCAGAAGGACTGCGGATTTAGAGGACATGGGGTACAACGTGTGTAGTATCTGGGAGCACGATTTCGATCAACAAGTGCAACAAGATGAGACTTTACAGCAATTTGTACGAGATCTGGACATTCCGGATCCTTTGAAACCTCGAGAAGCCCTGTACGGAGGCCGGACCAATGCCACTAAATTATATTGTGAAGAAGGGGACATGAGATACGTGGACGTGTGTTCCTTATACCCTTACGTGTTGAAACACAGACCTTTTCCCTTAGGGCATCCCGAGATCATCACAGACGACTTCCAGGACGTGAGAAGTTATTTCGGTCTCATTCACTGTCGGGTCTTACCAC